ACGACTTTCTGCGCGAGAGCGCCCTCCGGCTTCGAGTATGAATGAAACATACACTGCACGGAGTGTTTAGCGCTCCGCGATGTTTATCTCGCCTTATTCTGGGTCCGAATAAAACATCAGATCATGCACAGACTATCCTGTCTCTTTTAATTTAAATCTATATTTATTCACACCAGCTCTTGAAAACCTCTATGCGAACACACTTGCCCGAAAAAGTGCGGGGGACGAATTTACGTGATATTAAAAGTGTGGGGGGCGGGGACACGTCCCCCGCGTAATCTACGCCCCTGGCTATATTGCATAGTCATATTTTTTACTAATCCTGTTGTCTACATAAAAAAAAAAGAATGCAAGGAGCTAAAGATAAAATTCAACACCTCCTATAATTGCATGTAGCTAATGAAGAAAAATATACTAGATGTGTGAAAGACACATGACAACATTTATAGGATGCATTGAGGAGGAGCCCAAACTACACTCATTGGCAAAATAATGCTGACATAGTTGTGGTCCGTGATATTGGCACAGACTCGGTGTAATAAGCAGTTCTTTGTGACTGTTTATATTTGTCAAGCTGGAAAAGACGTATAGAATCTTAGTTCCCAGGACATCTACAAGATTGATTAAAATGAGTGCTGTCAAGCGATTAATCGTGATTAATCGCATCCAAAATAAGTTTTTGTACTGTGTATATTTATTATGTATATATAAATACACACACATACAGTATATATTTTGAAAATATTTACATGTATTTACTTATATAATTTATATTATATATAAATATATTTAATATACAAATATAACATATTTTTTCTTAAATATATACATGCATGTGTGTGTATTTATATATACATAATAAATATACACCGTGTACACATATTATGCAAACAAAAATGTTTATTTTGAATGCGATTAATCGTTTGACAGCACTAATTAAAATGCTGATAAAAACAAGAAAAGATGAAACAAACACATGACAGTATGACTGAAAAAAAAAAACGTAAAACACGTATATTCTGAGGCACCTAAAAAATTACTTAATTTTTTTTGGGGGGGTTAATGTCTGGAGCCCTGTTTTTAATGTTGAGTGTAGTTGTCAACACCACTGCATGCAGGGAAGATAGAAGAGTCCCAATCCTCCCAAAAGAGGGCAGCAGTAGACCTGGTTAACAAAAGGCTACTGGGTCTTCCAGAATCAAATTTATATTTCTAACAAGGAGTGATGCATGAATAGAGGTTCTGTTTTGTGGGTATCTAAGGCTCACGTATAATTGCTTGGTGTATGGTGGTATTTCCCTGTCTCACACCTTCTGCACTAATGTCTGCTACCCTCGTGATCATGTTCTAATAGACCTGTGTGCTTGTGTGTGTTCTCAGGTTTTACAAACTGCATGAGAGAAAGTGTGAACCTATCATCATGACCGTGCCAAGAAAAGTGAGCCTTTTGAGTCGTTTTGCTATTTTGTTTTGAAGAGTACAGGCTGGACTGTATATTCTGAGGCACAGCTTCCTCCTGCTTTGGCTTCTGTTTTCTGGCATTGTCAAAGAGATTAAGAGACAAAAATAGAAAGCTTTGTTTACTTAATCCCTTTGTTTTTAATAAGGGTTCACTGAAAAGAATAACCCTCTGACCCAGGACCAGTGTGAGATCATTTAGGGCCAGCGCTGCCAAGATTTTCACTAGCCATATTAAAAACTTTTAGCTTTGTGTGTTGTTTACATTTGCTGAAAATGTTTGTAATTAACATTTAAATGTTCAAATATATATTTAAACAAATAAAAAGCAATACATATTAAGCTCTGAATATCTAGGTGTACACTATTTTTCAAAGGTTTTAGGGTCAGTAAGATATTTTAGTGTTTTTGATATTAATATTGTGAATTTAAATATTATTATAATTGAATGTAACTGTTTTCAGTATTTTAAATTGTAATTTATTCCTGTAATGACAGCTGAATTTTCAGCAGCCATTCTTTAGTTTTACATGATCCTTTAGAAATCATTAGATTATGCTGATTTGTACTGCTTAATATTTTTGTAAAGACATATTGCCGTACAACATTCAAAAGATGTTGAAATGAAAACATTTTGTAACATTATGAATGTCACTTGATCAATTTAATGCATCCTGGCTGTATTAGTTTATTATTAATTTATTTATTTTCTAAAAACTTAATGAACCCAACCTTTTGAATGCTATAGTAATATATGGTATATAATATATTGAAAAATATAAATATTGTTTCCAAAAAATATAAAAATACATGGACAACAAAAGAATGATCAAAAGCCATAAATTCAAAAAATAGCTTTGACACCATGCAACTGAACTCTGCATCTGCGTCTCTACTTTTGCATGATTGATTGAATGATTTGCATGATTCATATCCTGCATATCTTAACAACTAATAACACTCTTCCCTCCATCAGTCGGACTTGTTCCAGGATGACCTTTACCCCGACACGGCGGGTCCGGATGCCCCCCTGGAGGCCGAGGAATGGTTTGAAGGGAAGAACGGAGAACCTGTCCTGATATCCCTGAAACATGGATACATCCCAGGCAAGAACCGTGATCTCAAAGTGGTCAAGAAGAACATCCTAGACAACAAGATGAGCAAGAATACAGAGAATACTGCCCCTGCCGTCAAGACTGCCACCTCCACACCATCTATCGTAAGTGGGACTCATTTGGTAATTTACTTTTTCCTCTTCGTTTTATCATCCTACACTATTCCGTTTTGCTTTTCTGTGCACTTTTTCCTCCTAAATCTCAATTCTCTGCACTAAATTCCCTGAAAAAATATATAATAAACTATTTCTTTAGCTCTATTGCACTGTGCTTCAGTTGTGACCTACATGCAGCTAAATTATTGTATTGTTCAAGGCCAACTTCTCTTTTTGGCTCATATATAGTGTTTTTATAGTTTTAAGGATGTTCTACAGCATACCCAACCCCATGCCTGCTTAACCACATGACAGCAACAGCACATGTGTGTCCTGCCCACTAAACCCAGCTCTCTGGCTCAGAGCTATAATCACAGGAACCAGAGCACTGCCCTACCGACACAACAATGTTAGCTGCTATTTATCACACCTAAAGATTATTCTACAAGCTGACTTAATTATTTGCATCTGCAGTGTTGTAATTGTCAACTACAATTGTAACTATTAAAAAAAATGTCATGTATTTAAAAAAAACTTTGACATGTTTCAAATTTGAAATTGGACATGTTACTGAAATAAGTACTAAAATGACAAACAAAAACTGAAATAAACATAAATGAAAGTTCAATATGTAAGTGCATAATACGTAAACACATAATACATAAGTTTTCTGTTCTCTTCTGTTCTGATGTATACCACATTATTATTATTATTATTTATTGTATATTTTCTACTTTTTCCCTTAGTTTTACTTATTTGAATGTTCTTTCTGTTACTGTGTCATATATGTACAGCGGGCAGTGGTGTATAAAGTACCTGAAAGCCATACTCCAGTAAAAGTACAGATATCTTACCAGAAAATGACTTTGGTAGAAGTTGAAGTCACCGTTTAGAATATTACTTGAGTAAAAGTCTTAAAGTATGTGATATTTATTGTACTTAAGTACGAAAAGTATTTTTAAAATCTTAAACGTACTTAAGTATTGAAAGTAAAAGTACAAGTAAATGCAAAATGGGAAAGAAGCAAATAAATGTATATAAAAAATGTTCATACACAGCGTAAGTAGCAAGATTGTGTTCAGTTTTAACGCTTTCATCCATTTTGTATTTTTGGGTAAGAATAAGAAGCACTTCATCAGGTATTTAGTGTCTTTCATTCCAACACAAGAAAACATTTCAAGAATCTGCATCTAAAATAGCATTTAGATGTATTTACACAGTTTAATGTAATGTATCTCAGAGGGGACATGGATGCATTTAACCTGCAGTTACATAAATAGGCCTAATATTTTGTTTTTAACATAAAACATTGAATACTGATATTTTAAATAATTTTAAACATGAAAAAATGTCGAAATGTGAAATTAAAACCGCCAGTAGGTGGCAGCAAGTGACTGTTAATGAGTGAGGCATTGAAATTCAACCGATTCATTCAAACGACTGATTCATTCAGGAACAAAGCATTTGACTGTGTTAATGAGTGAATCACTGAATCATTTATTCAACCGATTCGTTCAAAAAGCTGATTCATTCAATAAGTAAACACCGTCCTTTGCTCAGAGACGCAAAACAGTGCTGTGATCTTTGTTCGGAACTGTTTTCGTTGGCAAAATGAGCAAAAACAAGCAATATTATGTCTAAAATGTAAGTCACTTATTGCTTTACTGAACTTGTATAAAATGCTTATTAAATATGTTCATGCTGATATCTGCAGGAAAACGGTACTCTTTGTGTGATATAGATTAGGGATGTAACGATTACCAGTTTGACGTTAAATCATGATAAAATTCCCCACGATTTATTCATTTATTAATCAATTATCATTTTGACTTAACTCTTTTCTTTATTTAAAGGCTGAAATGTGAGGTTTACCTTTTTATGAAACTTTTTCAAAGCTTTATTTGAACATTTACATTAGATATTTCAACATGTTATTAAACTGTTATCAGTCAAGTTGTCATTTAAAATCCGAACATCATTGGTAATGTTATTGTTTTAGTGATTATGCAAACAAAAAGTCATTTTATTTGTTGTGTGCTGATTTTTAAATATAAAGCTTGGTGAAGTGATTTATGTGTCATTACTTTTTGAACATTTCCAGCACATTTTAACAATACCGTGATGATACTGATAACCATGATAATTTTGGTCACTATAATCATGATAAGAAATTTTCATATCGTTACATCCCTAATATAGATTAAGTTAACTATATTAAATTATATAAATATAAGAAGCGCATTTCATCTTCATCATCCTGGTAGATGGCAGCAGATATTTATCAAGAATGTCTCTGTACATTTTTCCGTTCATCCTTCCTTCAATTATATGAATTTTTCCAGTGCTACACCATGATGTTTTGGGGTGATGTGCAGTGCCATTTGACCTCCACACATGGTGTGTATTATTGCATCCAAAGAGTACAATTTTGGTCTCATCTGACCAGACTATATTCTCCCAGTATTTCACAGGCTTGTCTAAATGTTGTGCAGCAAACTTTAAACGAGCTTCAACATGAATTACAGATAGATTTCAGCTGGTGTCTTGGCTTTCCATGCCTTTTTGCACCTCTCTTTCTTCATGTGTTCAATACTTTTTCCCTGTGTCATTCTTCTTTATTATACAGAACTTAATTTCTGAACTTGTTTGTATTGTTTTCTTTGTATATATGGATTACTCGGGTTGTTACCGACATCTGGTGAAAATGTTATGTCAACAGCACCTTTAGAAATATATTTACTGAGAAAAATGGTGACGTGTTCAATACTTATTTTACCCGCTGTATTTATATATATATATGTATGTATTTACTGAGAGTTCCTGAAAAGAGAAAAATGGTGACGTGTTCAATACTTATTTTACCCGCTGTATTTATATATATATGTATGTATTTACTGAGAGTTCCTGAAAAACCACAATAAATTCCTTGTGTGTTTGCGCACACTTGGCGAATAAAAGCTCATTCTATTCTATTCTATTCTAAATATAAATAAAAAACAAAAGCAAAACTCTAAAATGTTCAAATGAAAATGACTAGATAAAAATGTAAAACTAAAAGCCAATACAAAATGTTAAATATATACTATAATAGTAAATACATAATACTAAAATAATGCTGGCATATGGGGGCTAAGTGATATTCTAGTAAATCACAAAGTGAACCTCAATATTTAGCTACTGTAAATGTGTTTTGTAAAGGAAAAGTGTTCAATGGTGAATTCAAATCAGAATTTCAAACTTGCGTTATTTTAATTGGATTCAAAATGCTTTTTCGAGATTAGAATTGAAAACTAGGTGGTTGTCATTTGTTATTAAAGTAAAAAAAAATGCAGCAGTTTTATTATTACGTGTGTGTGTGTGTCTGTGTGTGTGTGTATATATGTATGTATATATACACACACACACACTAGGGCTGTGCGATATTGAAGAAAAATGCGATATGCGATACGATATTGCTTAAAGTGTGTAAAATCAATTTAAATTATATTTAAAAATATTTAAAAATACATTATATAACCAAATTGTTTCACATTCTTTCTTGGAAAATAAAGAATCACTATAACTTCTGAAAGTGACAGGCAGTGTTTTAGCATTACTTAAAAAGTAATGTCACAAATCAGAAAATGT